CCTGCTGACAGCTCTTGAGGTCCTAGGAGTTCCTCAGGCGGACGTAGGACGTACGTCCCCTAGAAATTCTCGACAAAGACCCTCTTGAGGTCTACCTAGTCGCGGATGCTGTCATGTGGAAGGAATTCAAGCCATGCTCGGACATGTTCCCCCACACAAATGGGAAGGTATTGGATGATGAATAGGCGAGCCAGAAGTCTTTGAGCCAAATGTCTGGGTTTGACTCCCCGGTGTATTTGGTGATGTTGGAGGGAGGTCAGAAACGTTGTGGGAACGGTGCCCTTTGGATGCGCCGGCTGAAGGCCCGTGGCCCTAGACCCTCAGGGCTAGGGCTCCGGTCGTCCAGCCGGTGACCGTGCCTGGGTCGTGTTTCACCGCTTCCCTCAATGGTTTGGTCGGGATCTGTGTCGCCCGCCGCCGTGTGGCGGTCGTCGTTGCCGCATCGGGCCCGATGCCGGTCGCTGATGACGCTACGAGCGTCCTGGTGTAGGTCGGGCCGCTCGTGTGTCGGCGGTCGGTGTGGAGCAGGCTCCCAGTCGGACCGTGGCGTGACTGCCGCACCCCGAGCTGAGCCTGATGGCTGTGGCGGCGAGCGCACGGAGCGATCTGGTTGGCGCGTCCCCGTCCCCCCAATGGGGAGACAGGGCGCGGGTCGGAGTCGCGACACGGAGCTTTCCGCCTGCTGGACGGCGGCGGCCTCTACTAGAACCTGGAGGTTCCGGTAGACGGCTCGTTCCTGGGGGTCGACGGGCTCGAGAACACCGCGCAGGAGCATTACCACAGCAGCGATGTTCTGGCCAGCTCGGGCGATTTGCGGGACGTCGTTTCCCTCGTTCAAAATGTCACGCCGGACCTGTCGAGCGCGTCCCTAGGCGCCGCCCGTCGGGCCATGCGCATGGGGCGCAACGTGCCGCACCGATCATGCCGGCGCAGGGGGTGGCTGGCTCTGCCATCGTTGTTGTAGTTCCTCGGCGTGTGCTTGCGCAGACGTGAGGGCCCCCGCATGTGTGTTCGAAGGGGTGTGAGTCTGCGCGGACTCGGCAACCACCAGTGGTTGTGCTAGACCACCCGCCATAGCGCATTCCTAGGACGGATGGTGGCGAGACACCACATCACCGATGCTGGAACCATCGCTCTCGCCTTCGTTATCCGGGAGTTCGTGGGAAACGACAGGGGCGGAGCCTGCCATTCCTACGAATTCGGACATGAGGGGGGATGGTGTCGGCGTTCTTTGAAGCCCCCGAGTGTAAGCATCTGCAGAGGACGTGTGGCCGTAGGGGAACTGAACGTACGGTGTTTGTGGCGTGGGTGGTGCAGCCCCTTTGGATGATCGGTGGGAGGTAGTAAATAAAGGGCAAATAACGGTACACGTATTACTTACAGTGGGGTTTGAGCAGAGAGTTTGCTCGGAATGAAGCGCAGATGTCGCGCCGTTGAGGTCGCACGTCCCGGAGTCGGTGGAGAACGTCTCTCCGACGGGTGCCGGGTCGCGAGTCTCCTCGCGGAGGTGGAGTACGCCGAGCCGGTCGGCGACGAAGTCCAAGCTTCTGAAGAGGAAGGCCTAGGATGGCTTGAAAATGAGAGGAACCCGCATCCCCGCAGGCGAGAGTGCAGGATACTCTAGTGAGCCAAGGCGAATCGTCTCGCCCGAGCCCGCCACGGTGGGGGTGGCAAAAAAATGGGCCATCCGATGACCAAAAAGTGTTGAACATACAGCGTCTTCCCCACGGACGGCGCCAACTGTCGGTACAGAAAGTGACCAACTAGTGAATATTTGTAGTTTTGCTGTACGTTATGATCGGAGGTGGCCTAACACTCAATGACACAGGATTTAGACTGGTTTGGGCAACGTGCCCTACGTCCAGTGTGGGTCTGTTGGTGACTTTATTCCTAAGCCCAGGTGCTCGAAGTCTGTAGTGGGGTTACAAACGAGAAGGAAAAAGGAGGGGTGTACGAGAGGCCCGGTCGGGTCCGACCGAAAGGGCCAAGGGCGACCGGAACTCTGCTATGAGCTAGGTGTTCAAGCGTGTGCTTGAGGGGTTTCTCAGCTATCGATCTAGTGAGCCTAAGCTTGAAGAAGTGGACCTCTGGAAAATCGATCTCCTTTGTTGGAGGGAGCACATCCCCTTTTATAGATAAAGGGGATGGCTTTACAGGTGAGAGGGAGAGAGTACGGATGTTTCTAAGTCTTGTTGCCCACGCCAAGTGAGGGTAATGATGATGGTTGGCACGCATAACACTGTTGATGTCGCTGTAGAACGTCGGGTGCACATGGGGGGTTGCGTTGGCTTCTTCAGGAAGGGTGGATGTCGGTACCTGTGAAATGATGTTAGTATATGAGGACCCCCACCACGTGTACCAGGTATGGTGAATCCTGGTGCCCACTATCGATGCCCAGAGGCATGTGGGGGGCTTTTTTGCCGTATGGGAGCCCCAACGGCGCCTACAATACTGTAGACATAAATGTCGGCGCCTACAATACTGTAGGCACAAATGTCGGAACCTCCCATACTGCTTGTGTCAGGTCGGTTGTGGAGCACTGTTCTCGCAGGCGTACAGGGTATGGTCCCGGTACCGTGTTTTGACTTTGTGCGCTGCTTTCTCCGTTCGCCCCTGGTCCCTTCCGAGTGGGAATCCCCGGTCGGATGGCTCCAGTCGGTACTGGCCGTGCCAGTCGGAGAAGAGCGGTAAGCAGCATCCTATGAGCCCCCGGTCGGAGATGCGGGGTCGGAGTAGGAAGCAGCGTTTTGGGCCAGCGCCCGAGGCGAGCGCTCCGGTCGGAGAGGTGGGCCGAAGAAGTTGTCGAGCGGGCGTTCGTTCTTTCGGCGGACCTTCCGGTCGGCGACCGGTCTGCCCCCCCGGCCCGTTGTTTTTTAGACCTTTCGGGCCGGTCCATGAGCTACAGGTTGTTCTCCTGGGCCGAGCCCGGGCGTCGAAGCCGGTCCCCGAGGGACCCCGGGTTTATGAACCCGACAACTCCCATCCAGTACTACATAAGCTTCCCTCCCCTCTAAGATATCATATGCAACAATCTGTGGTTCAAAATTGAAAGGTACCTTAATTCTACTGGATTTCGGTAGATATAGCCAAATCGCGCTAAGTATTGCATTTAAGTTTGCAATCACGTGCACACTCTAGAAATTCAAAGAGATACATATGCTACGTAATAAGAAGCACATCATGTAATTCATCCAAATGATAACTCACTGACTTAGAACAACTTCTCACCTGGCTAGCGTGCGCACGGATAGGCGGGTTTCGAACAGACCATGCTGATCGTCATGAAAGTGCGGGTGCTGCAGTTACTGGAACCGTGTGGTAGGCTGAAACAGCGGCGCTAGGGTGAGGGGTTCCAAGGACACCTCCTATGTGGCACCAGCATCACGAGCGAGAGGAACCGCTCCTTCCTGCAATGGAAAAAACAACAAACACCAATTATACATGCTGAGTAGATCATATGTTATTTAATACTAACATAACTGTCAGGTACTTGCATCGTGTTTGAGAGAGTCTGAAGACAACCAGAGATGTTCCCTTGAGCACGTGCACAAGATTCTTTATTTGCTATTCTATAAGACAAGCAATATAAAAATGGCATGTGTTAGGTATTTCATCAAATGCAAAGAAGACATAGGACCTTGAGTCATGGATGAATAAATAATTAAACAATTTATATATTCACAAATCGTAATGTGTAGAAAACATGGTCGGTTTCTATGGACGAATAATTAAACTGTAGACACTATTGAGATGCCATAACTAATTCAGTAGTCAGTACATAGTTTAGCTGGAGGTATGGGTACAAATCATTATGTCATTCATGATGAGACAAAATTACCAGCAATTTTGCTATTATAAACTGAGCGAAAGGTGCATAGCAACAGTATCTCCTTGCCTCTGCTAGTAGATTTACCAAACTATCCAATTGCTTCTGTTGGATTCACAAGGTAGTTCATCCCTAAACCCTCCATCACAACAGAGCAAATCAACAAAACCAAGACCAACAGTAGGGCGGATCCAGTAAAAGGACATGGTGCACATATGCACACTTGATAACTTTTGTAGAAAATCAAATTTGGTAGACTTGATATTAGATCAGATTTGAGTACACCAAATAGCTTAGGTTAGGGTTTGGGTCCTCGGCTTCGCACAGAAGAGAGAGCAGGGAAGAGATGGGTGTACCTGTTGGATGCTCGTCACCGGCGAAGGGTCCGGCGAAGACATGGCGAAGGGCCCGACGAAAACCTAGGCACCTAGCATAGGGCTGCCGCAATGGTCTGCGGTCGCCACGAGAGAGAGTCAAGACGGGACTCACTGCATACAGTGGCCGGTGGCGGGGAGGCTCAGTATTGTCGTCTTGAGGCAAAGCGCTGGTGTCCTTAGCCGGCGCCCTCTCCTGGTAGGCCGGTGCCTCATCCGTGGGGGAGGCATCGAGGAGGAGGAGTCGCGCGCGTGCGAGAGGAGGCATCGAGGGAGTGGGGGGGAGTCGCGCGGGGTGGGAGGCGGCGTCGGGGCGAGGGGGAGGCAAATTTTTTTTTGCACGGACGGGCAGAGCGACGACGTGAAATTTTGTCGCACGGGGGAGGCAGGACGACGAGGCGAAGTAAAATTGTCGTACAAAAAAGTGTCCACGCTTTGTTCTTTTTAGTTGTAGGAGATATTATATATATAACTAATAAAAAGAACAAAACTAAAAGAACGAGATGGTGCGACAAATTTTCGGGTGGTCACTCTGCCTTCCCGTACGATCCCGCAAGTACCCAACGCGCCGAAGCGTGCAATCCCACCCGGCGCTTCCCCACCCTTTCCCTGAAAATGCCACTCCATGCGGGACGAAGGAGATCACACCTCATCGTATGCCACCGTGCAATAGATATAAACTGAGCCATTGAACGCCACCAGAAAATGGAAGGAATTGATTCACGCCCCCATGGCTACGGCACCCCCGCGGTCGGCGCGCCGGCGAGAGCGGTCCCCGACGGTCCTCCTCCCTCACCCCCATGCGGGCGCAGCCACGGTTTGATCCCAGCGCCATGGAGCCGCCGCCGCCGCCGGTGGGAGGGGCCGCCAGCACCATGGGAGTCGCCCATCTCGGGGCCTCCCCAACGCCTTGTAGGTCCGGCGGTGCGCCCTCCTCAACCTAGGATCCGGTAGCTCCCCCTCCCCATCGAACTGGGATCCGGTGGCACCCCCTCCCCATCGCCCTGTTGATCCGATGGCGCCCCCTCCCCATCCCCATCGTCAGTTGCGCCCTGTCCTTTGGTGCTAGATCAGCGGGGTCCAACGCCGCGGCCGCTCACGTATCGCCTTTCTCAAGGCTTTTCTCGTCGGCCTCGGCGGCTCGGCGTACTGGGCTTGGATTCACGCGGGGACCGAGTCGGCCCCGGCGCCCGCGCCGCCACAGGAGGAGGAGGACGAGGGCCCGGCACGCTACATCCCCATCAAGGCCTACTTTCTCTCCACCAGGTAAGCACGCAACACCGCTCCAGCGCTTGCTCGATAGGTGTTTGATGATTTATCAGCGAGGAAACATTCGGTGCTACCGTGCTATTCTGAAGAGATGCCAATGCCCAATTGGCGCTGCGAACTAAAATGACGTGTTTTTATTTTTTCCTCCTCGCCATGGCAGCATTGATCTGAAGAGCATGCAAGCGGAGCATGGGAATGATATTGTACCTCCGCCGACCTGTTCGTTTAACTACATTGCGCTTCGATACTCCGAGTTCCCACCTGAGATTATTTTCCAGTATGGTTCTGTTGTGCTTTTCAGCATTGCTGATCATGAAGCTGAGTACTATCTTGATATAATTAGGAAGCATGCTTCAGGATGGCTTCCAGAGACGAGAAAAGATGGTATGCCCAGTTTGCTCACTGCTAAACTGTGTCTGTTTACTGCTTTTTACTTGCCTCCATTTTTGTGTTCCTTGATAACATTTGCATGGACAGAAAACAGTACAATTGCCTTCTTTTATATTCAATATTCTATTTGGTAACTGTGATAGAACTCAACTTAAAGAGAATCATCGCATGCCTAGGCTGTGCGTTGTGTGCATTTTTGTTTAACAGAAATAAGTTGCCACTACTTTTTGGTCACTGTGATGCTTTGGCATATGCCCCTTGAAATTTCGCTGGTTGACTCTTTGTAAAGATGCAGTGCCATCTATTTTGCATGGACAGATTATGCAGTGGTTGAGAAACCATCCTTGACAACATGGATGAAAGGAGGTCTTGATTATATAGTTCTTAAAAGTTTGGACACGGATGGGATTTGCATAATTTCAAGCGTTCTTGGTCAAAGTATCGCCCTTGATCATTATATTCGACAGGTACTAAAATTCTGCGAAGTTAATGAACTTATGTGTTGTGACAGTATCATCAAAGCTTTGTCTAGAAGTTCTAAACTCCAAAAATACTAATTTGATAGGTTGATGATATGGTTGAGGAATTCACTGAAATTAATCGTGTCATGGAAAAAACTGGCAACTTCACCATGCAAAGAAAAAACTCTTTCAACTTGTGGGGAAGGCTAATTCGAATCTTGTGGATGTTATCATCAGGCTTGGTTTTTTGACAGGTATGTCTAGGACACTCAAGTACTGTACTTCCTATTTAGGATGGTTCCATCTCTCATACAACATATATGAAGTTAAATATTTTTTATGGATCAAAGAATGTGTGAATCCCATGTGAACGATTGTGAAGGTGTGTAATTCAAGTTGCTAGACATTGCAGGTCTATAAGCCACTGTTAGCATACATTTGATATTCCCTTTTGGAAAAGAAGGGTTCACTTGGGGTTTATGCTCTTTGTTTGGAATTTCTTCCGGTGCTTTGAATAAATATTGATGATTTTGATCATTGTACTAAGAAATTGGACATTACTATCTCACAGTACTCATTATTTTTAAAAGTATTGTGCTTGCTATCCGTGGATTATATCATATTCTTGTTGGCTCTATTGCATGCACCCCTTGTTTCTGTCTTGACTCACTTGTTGCTTTTATAGTGCAATTTCGCTTCTGGATCCCTGTTTTTTCCTTTTTTTTGCTTATGGATACATCCACCTTCTGTCATTTGACCATGATTTTTTTCTGTATTTCTGTGTCTTTTATGAAGATTACCTTTTATCATTTAGAGATTCTCTGGCATACTTTTTACAATCACCAACCAGTTTATTTACTTCATAAGTTGATCCTGTTGTGCTTCACATGCAATTTGTGTCCTATCCAGGTTCTGTAGTTCTCCTTTTGTGCATTGTGTTGGTTGGTCTATTTGCCTTGCAAACACCAGGGTACTAAGAACTGCATTCATGTTTGCACCAATTGTAATCATCTGGCTGCTTTCCATTGGAGGAATTGGTTTATACAACATTCTTCATTGGAACCCAAATATATCAAGCTCTGTCTCCATATTATATGGTTAAGTTCTTTAAAAAGACAGGTAAAGATGGATGGATTGCTTTAGGAGGGATCCTTCTTTCTATGACAGTGGAGTGATGTATCATGTTTACCTTTCCCTTCCTGTTTTTTTATAACCTGTTTGCCATTTAGGATTTAATCACCAGGTCTACTTTCCACTTTCCAGGCAGTGAAGCAATGTTTGCTGGCCTTGGTCATTTTACGAGTGCATCCATTAGATGTACAGTTAGAACCACAAGATATGTCCATGCTAATATCCTTTACTACTTTATAGAAAGAGATTTTATTGTAATTGTAATAACATTAACCATGGTCCATGGAGATGGATGAGCCTACATTTTAGGAAGACCATATCAGCTAACTGAACTTAAGCGGTTATGGACTGTTAAATGGGCACAATAAAATTCTTCAATTTGCTTGCTAGCTGTACAAATGAACATGTAATATTAGTTCATTTTCTTTATTTTGCCACAGCTCAACCAGATTTACGAGCTATCAGATTTCATAAGCATTGTAGAATGCATGTGTGTGTTCAGTATGATAGACTTCACTAATCTGGATTTGAATATACAATTATAGCCTTGACAGTTCTGAAGCACAAAGAGATGTACTTAAGACCCATAACAGGTACAATCTTCCACATGTGTATTTTATCTCTTTATCATACATCTGTTCTTCCTATCTGAATGACTGAGCGAAGTTCCTGTTAGGTGAAGAATCTGGTTGTGTTAGTCCTATTGAATCTGAAGAAGTTCCTGAGAATTCTAGAACGGAAGAGGCTATAACCGAGGAAGGAAATCCATATCTCACTACAGAGCACGAAGTGCAGGGCCGCCGTCGCTACCGGCGCAGTCCTAACCCATGCGCGAGGCTAGGTTGTCGACATTGTGGCAGCCCGCAGCTAGGCAAGGTGTGGCCTACGCAGCGGGCGGAGAAGGCGGCGTGTGGCGCTCATGGTTGAGGCACAGCGGCTGGCGGCGCTAGCTGATGTGCCATGGAGGTGACCGAGACGGCGACACGCTCGCGGCGGAGCTGACCCGCAACGCAATGACCTGAGGCAATGCGAACGCCAACAACCCCCATGTCGTGCGGAAAGGTCTATACAGTTTGTGAGTCTGCGACGCCGTGCTATGCGTGACTGTTAATTTTACGAATTTTGCTTTTTGGATTAATGTACGTATTTAATTTTACAGTATTGTTATCTAATCGTGCGATCCGTGTGTTTTAGTATAAAAGTTTAGTTGTCCTGTAGCAACGTACGGGCACGGGCACGCTACCAGTTCTAAGTAAATTGTGAAGTTTTCTCTGTAGTCCTTAAGGTGGACCAATCATATTGACTATGTTTATCTAAATTTATCTCTCAAATTCCGTGGCAAAGCATTATTGTGTTGTAGTTAGATAGTACTATTAATTCTCCTGCATAATTTCTCCCAATGTACGATGCAAGATAATTCCCGCAGCAACGATATCATCTAGTTGATTAAACACCTACGTGCATATCTTGACATGGGTCCATTTTTAGAAAAGGTTTCATAAAAAGTCTATTTATAAAATAAGTTTTTTAAAGGAGTAAAATGCAAAATTTTCACAAGAGGGATACAAGTAGTCAGGACGCGTGCATATCTTGACATGGGTCCATTTTTAGAAAAGGTTTCATGAAGAGTCTATTTATAAATAAGTTTTTAAAAGGAGTAAAATGCAAAATTTTCACAAGAGGGATGCAAGTAGTCAGGACGCTCACAATATAATTCTCCTTTCTAATCACACCAACCCACCACGCTTACATGTTTTTTGATCTAGAAGCTCATCACCCCAAACCAACGTTATTCTAGATCATTTGACTCATGCGAAACGGTGTGCCAATTCGACGACATATTCTACACCTTGAGGAGTTGAACGTTGACGGAATGGCAGCACGTTTCCTAACTTTCTGCAACCCGGCCACATTAATTAATGGACTAATGGACCGACGAGCGACGGTGCCGTGCCGTGCCAAGCCAAGCCACGTCGGAGAAGCCTCACTCCCGGGCGTCTCATCCTCACCGGACGCCACCAACCCCGCCATAACTGCCTATTTAAAGCCCTCAGTCCGCCACTCTCATGGCAACACAAGCAGAAGCTGCAAAACCACCAGCAGTAGCACTGCCACGCTCAGCGCTGAGCACCTAAGCATCGGCGGACGATCACTGAAGCAATGGCCTCCGCCAACAGCTGGACCCTCGAGATCGCGTCGCCGGTGGCCGCGCCGCGCCTGTTCCGCGCCGCCGTGTTGGACTGGCACACCCTGGCGCCCAAGGTCGCCTCCCACGTCGTCGCCAGCGCCCACCCCGTGGAGGGCGACGGCGCCGTTGGCAGCATCAGGCAGTTCAACTTCACCTCAGGTAAGTGTCCGCGGCATGCCCAGACCAACATGTTGTCGCCCTATCGATCAAACAGCTAAGCGCATGACGTGCCTCTTGCAGTCATGCCGTTCTCCTTCACGAAGGAGAGGCTCGACTTCCTGGACCTGGACAAGTGCGAGTGCAAGAACACGCTCATCGAGGGCGGCGCCATCGGCGTTTCCATCGAGACGGCGACGTCGCACATCAAGGTGGAGCCCGTGGCCGACGGCGGCAGCCTGGTGAAGGTGGAGTCGACCTACAAGCTGCTGCCGGGCGTGGAGGTCAAGGACGAGGTCGCCAAGGCCAAGGAGGCAGTCACCGCCATCTTCAAGGGTGCCGAGGCCTACCTCGTCGCCAACCCTGACGCCTACAACTAAATTGGTGGATTGGGATGCGATTCCCCTACCCGGAGTTTGGGTTTTCTCTTTCTCTCCTATTCCTTTTTTCATACAAAATAAAATAAAGCTGCTCCTTGCAGTGTGCGGTGTATGGACTTGAGATGTTATGAGTGGTATGTACGATGCTGTCGTTGTGTGATCGATTGTGTAGTACCCTCGTGGTTTTCTGTGTGGGAAGAAAAATGGCATTATTCTGTTTCGGAATCCTATGCAAGTTTGACAAAGAATTTTGCTCATTTCAAATAGATATATTGGAAGACAGTTCTGGTGAATATGTCATTATTGAAAATTGAAATTATTTTCAAAAAATATGAGGGCTCCAAGACTTATAGTGTTCACTAAAGAGGTGGAAGAAGCGGACATCTATGGCCTTCTGCAATGTGTGCCCAGAGCGGTGCTAAAAATGGAGAGAAAATATTTGGGGTACCGCTCCTCCCACTGCAGCTAGTGGTGCCAATCCTAAGTGAAGCTAAGAAAACATGGAGTGAGGCAAGTATGTTCACTGGTTCAAGGTGAAGTCAAGTCAATAAACAATATTTGATTTGTTTGCAGTCGGAAGAGAAAGAAGAAACATGCAATAGAGAGATAAGATAAAAAGCTAAAAACAAGGGGCCACTAGTGATGCCTCCCCACTGCGACTTAGAGCGATTCTCGTTCTCACGTGCGGAGCTCATGAGTTGATTTCTGGCATCACCACACATTGCAGAAGGCCTAAGGCCTTGCTTGTTTAAGGGGTACCTTTTATGCTTTAAACATTAACATAAAAGCTGGTTCTGTGGTTTCTAACGGTTGGTTTTTTATTATTAATTTTTGTAATAAATTTTTAGCTTCCGGACAAATCAAAAGCCATGAAACCTCTTCACAGCGGCTTTTAGTTTATTTTCTGAGTTTAGACAAAAGTGATGCTCAACGGCTGCCTCAAACAGTCAAACCCTTATCAACCGAGCTTGCATTTTTTTAAGAAATGGCAGGAGCTTTGCTCAATCATGTAAGGAGAAGCTTGCCTGTACTATATAATAGGTAGCTTTCCTGTCTATCCATTTTTTAAAAAAGAGGAGAAAATGCATAGTTTTGCAAACTTGTGTTACAAAAGAATATAACAATGACACTAGACTAAACTAGGTTCACCACAAGCCTTCTTCCTGAGGGCCAATTCCTCTTTCCCTACAAAGCCCTTCTGTTTTGTTATTTCTAGACATCAAGGAATTATACACTAGGATTACCATCGTTCTCTTTTACAATTCAACTCCTTGGTTTTTCATGGCCTATTTAGATACATATAGCTAGTTACTGATTGGGGCTAAAAATTAGCCAAAATTATGGTTGGCTATCTAGTTAGCTAACAACTAGTTAAAGACTTGGCTAAAAAATTAGCCCACCTATTGGTCATGTTCGCTTCTCTTATAATCCGTACTTTTTAGCTTGTTTTTTCAGCCGAAACAGTGTTTTTCTCTCACAACAAATCAGCCGGAACATTGTTTCGGCTTGTTTTTCCAGCGAAGCGAACGGGACCATTAGCTCTACAATAGAGCTAATTTTTAGTTAAAGCAATTAATCCTTTAGTAAGGATGCCCACCACTCCTTAATTGTCATAGTTGTGTCGTTATATCATAGCAAGTGTGTCGACAAAAGATGCTCGGCTGAACTCCGAGGGGTATCCCACGAAGGTAGATTGATCGGTGGAGGTGCACGTGATAGGAACTGGATGGTGACACAAGACGTAGAGACAACGATTTAGACAGGTTCGGGCCGTCTGATCGGCGTAATACCCTATGTCCCGTGTCTTTGGTGTATTGTATTGAGATGTAGTAGCTGTCAACTAGGGAACCCCTGCCTCTCTTTATATACTCTGGAGGGTTAGGGTTACAAGGAAAATATCTTATTTGGTACTATACAATATCTTACGGTGCACGTTGACCAGTACCGTGCACGCCTTGATCTTGTGGGTTGTGCCACCTCTGATGGTGCGGCCCATGTCTTGTCTTGTGGGTACCGGGGGTCATATCCCACACAGCTAGTCCTCGAGCGCCTTGTATTCGTTGTGCAACGTAGTCTTGAGCTTGTCTGAGCAGGTGCGAACAAAGCCGAGCAGTTAGACTCATGGTCCGACCACCATGATGAGTTGCCGAGCAGTTGTAAACCGTCGCCGAGCAGTGTGAACCATCGCCGAGCAGTGTATCCCAAGTAAGGCTTGCCATAAGGATGTAAGGAGCTCAAGTTCAAAATCTAAAAATTCTTTCACTTAGGAGAAGTGTAGCCACTTAGACTCCGTCAATAAGGAGGGTAAATCAAGAAATAAGCATTACATTCACCACCAGGTGAAGTGTAGCCACTTAGTCCCCGAGCCTGCTGGAAGATGAAGAAAGAATCTTGTAGGAGGGTCAAAGAAAATAAGTCTGAAAGCTTGTCGACGTCGTCTGACATGCGCGTATCAAGACCCCATACGTGCTGCCCAAGATCAGCACCCTGATCCGAACAACATGGAGTAGCTTGAATAGCACACCGATGAGGCATAACAAAATCTAACCATCAAGGTAGTCCCGGCGTAGCTGGCGATGTTCGAGCATCGAGAAGTCCCCGGCGTAGCTGGCGATGTCCGAGCACCGAGGAGTCCAGGAGTAACCGGCGTAGCTGGCGATGTCCGAGCACCGAGGAGTCCTCGGCGTAGCTGGCGATGTCCGAGCACCAAGGAGTACCCGGCGTAGCTGGCGATGTCCGAGCACCGAGGAGTCCCCGGTGTAGCTGGCGATGTCCGAGCACCGAGGAGTCCCCGGCGTAGCTGGCGATGTCCGAGCACCGAGGAGCCCCCGACGTAGCTGGCGATGAAGCATGAGCGACGAACAGTCTGGTCAACTGGTCGGCGGCAAAGTGAGCATTGAGTAGAAGCGACCGACGAACAGTCTGATCAACTGGTCAGCGATAAAGTCCATAAACCTAGCTGTCCGACCAGTTGATCGGTGGAGAAGTCCGAGCACCAGGTGGTCCGATCACCTAGACGATGATCCTGCAATACAAATATGTAGAACGGGTAGTACATGATGTAAAAATATATGAACTCCGGAGAAAAATCAGCAATAGCGATGAAATAGCATATGTAGCTCGGCGATCAGTTGGTGTGAAGATGTATTTATATTTAATATAAACCGTCCAACTAGTTAGTGTGTAGCTGAGTCTCCAGCCCTAGCTAGCCCGTTAACCATAATGCGGAGCGCGGAGCCCGTGTGCGTGTAGGAAGATCAAAGCGTCGCTAAGAAGCCGCTGCCGACCACCTATAACGCAGAGGGCAGACACTCGTGCACGTGTAGGGAGGAGCCAGAGACAGGGCCGTCTCTGGGGACATCCGAGCGTTAACATGACTGTTCAGGGGTTCAGAAAATTGTTTGGAGAGCAAACATGGAGAAAACAGCTCGGAGAAGCATTATGGCGATATATGAAAATTGTAGAATATTTAGAAAAATATTAAAGCATGATTTAGCTTTAGACAGAATGTCTGGTCGGCGACGTATGGCGTTATCTGGTTGGCGATAGCGAAATTGCCCGGCCATCGAGCTTTCCAAACTGTCGTTATGGCGGCGGTCGCAATTGTCATGGCGCCATTCTTCTTGGCGATCAATATTGTGACACGGCAGGTGGTTGGATCCAGCATAATCGAACTCAGCGTTGCACAGCTGCTGCACATACGATCCGGCGTGTATGTGTACGCAAGTAGCTTTTGATTGTTAGCTTGCTTGCGTCATCGCGCATGCCTTGATGCACTCCTTGGCGTGATCGGCTTGGTGACGCGGTACCTTGATCGATCTTGAGCCGAGCTTGTAGGTCAATCGCTGCGTGCAGTCGATGAGATCCGAGCTGCTAGCGTGAGACGACGCAGAACGACTACGAGCGTAGTTAGATTCCTATCAAAATAATCATGCACACATATTGGAGGTATCTGGTTGCTTACATATATCATAGGATTGATTGGAGATTTAAAGATTGACTTAGCTTTGCGAGGTCAAGCGGAGGCGCCGACCGATCGATTGCTGGAGAATTGCTCCATGGGTGACATACATCTATACGCATGCATTTCTTCACTCTGGTTGGCCTGCATGGTCGTCCTGGGCATGCATAGCGGCCAGGAAAACTAATCTGGAACTTGCCGCCAGATCCTGTCCGCCAGGGGTGTAGATGCCGTAAAAGACTCGGTCAGCTCGAAACTGGCTCCAGAGTAGATACGTCCTTCTCCGAGCCGTACGAAGCGAGTCCAATTTAGATGAAACTCCGACTAGCCTCCGCGCGAGACGTATTATGGTCCATCACCCGTCGATATCATTGCTATGCTGATCCATTGAGTTACTGCAGGATGCCAAATCGACGTAAATCTCTGAGTGCAGCTTTGAATTTCTTCGAGATGAATTGCATCGTGGGCCACGGAAGGATACCGCGGACACACGACGTTGTGAGATGCTGCCTCGAGTCGACGAGTCGCTGTGATGGTCGAGGGACCAAAGATCAGGTCGATCCCCCCATAACATGCTGCCACAAATCACCTAGAGACGTCGAACCCTTAACAGGTGTTGAAGGACGCCGTAGTAGGAAGCCGAGTTTGCGACGTGTTGTGCAATGATGTTGTTGTAGATGAAAATTCCCATCTGGTTCGTTGTGGGATCAGCACGCACAGCCCCTACCTGACGCGCCAACTGTCGACAGAATATCGTCGGCAGTCCTTCGAGGGGTATCCCACAAAGGTAGATTGATCGGCAGAGGAGCGTGTGATCAAGAACAAAAAGGCAATAGAGACACACGAGTTAGACATGTTCAGACCGTCAGTATGATATAATACCCTACTCCTGTGTTATGTTGGATTGTTTTGGCTACCGTATGATAGTGCGTGAGTTTGGAGGGGGTCCCTGCCCGCCTTATATAGTCCAGGAGGCAGGGTTACAAGTCGGTTAGATCTGAGAGATAATCGG